AGTGAGAGAGAGAGAGAGAGAGAGAGAGAGAGAGAGAGAGAGAGAGAGAGGAAACATGTGCAGGTCTCCAAGGAGGCCAAAAGCAGGCTGCCAGGCTGAACATCACATAGTCCCTAAATTCTTTTCTTTCTTTTTCTTTAAAAGTGTCTCACTGCAACCCATGTTGGCCTCAAGCTTGCAGTCTCCTAAGTGTATATGTCACCTAGACCTGTTTAAAGATCTAAATTTGAAGAGCAAAATAAAAGTAAAGGAGAATTACCTTAGAAACCACAGAAGCAGAGAAAGTATATTTGATACCAAAAAAAAAAAAAAAAGTGTACAAATCATGAACAAAAACACAGGTAACCCTGCTTGGTGTATGACACACACATTTAATCCCAGCAGTCAGGACACAGGGGCAGGCCAATCTATGTGAGTTGGAGGCCAGCGTGGTCTACAAAGCAAGTTCCAGGACAGTCAGGGCTACATGGTGAGTCCCTGTCTCAAAACAACAGTTAAATTTAACCACAAACAAGTATAAAGTTACAAGGACTAGAGACACAGCACTGTGGGACACAGCTGGCGTATCCTAGCACATGAGGTGGTGAGGAAAGTCCTCGAGGAGCTGATGTTGGAGTTGAGATCTGAACCTTAAAGAGGATGGTCTGAGCAACAACTCATCTACTGCACAAGTTCCAACCCAGCAGGCCAGTGGAAGTCAGTAGGTGCTGTCGTACAAGGGGCTCAGGAGGGCCCTGGAGGGAGGGGTCAGGAATCTCCCCCTCCCCAAGCCCAGCAGCTGCCTATGTCTGGTTTCCACAGAGACCTGCCCTGGTAAAGTCCTTCCAAAGCAACCACAGTGATGGCAGTTGCAAGGGCACAAATTGTGTGTGTGTGTGTGTGTGTGTGTGTGTGTGTTTAGTTTGGGGGTTTTTTGTTGTTATAGTTGTTGTCTTTTTGAAACAGGGTTTCCCTGTAGCCCAAGCTAGCTTGGAAGGGCTCACCCAGATTTTCCTGTGTCCCAGGTCCCTGCAGAAGGCAAGTTCTTTGCGAGGTCTCTCCCCATCTTCCTATTCAACGACCCCATCCTGCCTCAGTGCTCATCACACTTCCCTATAGAACATGCACTCTGCCTTTCCACTCCCCAGTCTGCTGCATACCCCCTCCCTCTGCCAAGCACATCAGCCCCATGAAACCAGGGACTAAGTGTCTTCCCTCATACCTGCATCCCCAATGTCACACACTAGGCTGCAGCATGCAGAATGGCTTCCCAAGGGTATTTACACCCTGGTCCTAGGGAACGGGGATGTGGTATGTGGTCAGGGAAAACCAGAGGTAGAAGAAATTAAGATTCTAGCCAGGCATGGTGGCGCACACCTTTATTGCCACCACTCCAGAGGTAGAGGCAGGCAGATCTCTGTGAGTTCAAGGCCAACCTGGTCTACATAGTGAGTTCCAGGCCAGCTGGAACTACTGGGAGACCCTGTCTCAAAAAGACCCCCCCCAAAAAAAAGAAAAAGAAATTAAGGTTCTGAATCAGCTGGTATTAAGACACGCTAAAGTGGGCTCCATGTCTGCACAAGTTGTTTTGAAGTTCATTGAGACAGTCTCATGTAGTCTAGGCTAGCCTCAAAGTTGTTGTCTTTTTGAGACACAGTACATATCCCTGCTATGTAGCTAAGGATGACCTTGAACTCCTGCCCCTCTTGCCCCCCCCAAGTGCTGGGAGTATAGGCGTGCACCCCCATGCATGCCTCACACACGTGAATCCAAGACAGTGAGGAGAGGCAGTGATGTGACATGAGAAAGATGCAACTGGTCACGGCTGGCCTAGAACAGGGAGAGAGTGGCTGCCTCTAGACGCTGGTGAAGCAGGCAGACCCACCCCGGAGCTTCAGAAGGCTCGCTGCTCCAGCTCCACATGGGCATTTAGCCTAGATGCCCACTCTGGATCTCCATCAGACCTGCTAGAGAATGTGCCTGTTGTTCAAAGCCATCAAGTGTGTGGTAACTGACAGCAGCCAGGAAATCACCAGACTGCTAGTGCAGTGGGGGTGAACAGGGCCATCGGCATCTTACTGAGAAAAAAACAAGGCCGGTGAGATCAGTCAAGGTCAGTGAGACAGTAAGGGCAGGGAGCTCAGTAGCCCTTGACTGGTTAAAGTTAGGAAAGGGCTTGGCATGTCCAAGAGGTTACCCAAGGCCCAGGTCTCAACCCCAACTAACCACAGCCTTTGCCCTGCTTAAACCCCTTTCTGATCCACTCAGCCCACCCGAGAATGAAGTCCAAACTCCCAGCCTGGAGTTCACAGCCCTCCAGGGCCGCCCTGTCCAAAAGAACTTTCCCCAGTGATGGAGTGTTTTGAAGTGTGTGACCAGTGTGACTGAGAAACAAGCTAACCGCCTGCTTGTTTCCCTCCCTCCCTCCCTCCCTCCCCCCTTCAACGTGGAGCCTTGAAGGGGCTCCAGGATTTGGGTGAGTTAATGAAAATGGGCTTCCTTCCACCCATTCTACCTCCTAATTAGATGCAAAAACCACAGTGGATGCTGCAGTTATCTAGAGAACTCTGCAAAAAAGTGCTAAGAGGGGGACCTGGAAAGGCCGGCATGTCCTATGAACAACCACACCTCTAGCTTGAGACCTAGAGAGAACATCTGAGATGCTGGACTTCTTAGATCAAGTTAAGAGAAGAGTTGAGGGACAGAGTCCCAATTCCCTGCCCTCTGTCAGCACAGGACTATAGAGCCAGGGGGAGGAGAGAGCAGCTCCCTAGCAGATCTGATGGAGGAGCCCCACTCACCTCTTCCCAGACCCCAGGACAGGGCCACAGGGCAACCCAGAGCCCTGGCCAGCAGAGAGAGGCAGAACCAAGATGAGACTGAAGCTGAAGCTCCTGGAGCTCTGGGAGACTGAGATGGGGGCTGTTCCAAACCAAGTGTCCTTTATTAGATTCATCAGTTGTACACACACGCACACAGGCACAGACCTCAGGCCTGGGGCACCACCCCATACAGCTGGTGAGGGAGTAACTTTTGCTTCTCGTTGCAACTGTAGATCCACCGAGGCCGGACGAATGCCAAGGAAGGGTTGTCCATCAGGGCCTGTGGGGGAGAGGGAGTCCACATGGCCATGTGTAATCCAGAGGGCAGGAGACGCGAAGGTGCGTCAGGAACCTCCACCTCTGCCCTCCAGGGCTCACCTCCTCAAAGCTGGGATCCCACTCCTGGGCTGTGATCACAAACTGGACCCGTTCACTCATGTAATCCTCAAGCTCACTGGTGGGAGATAAGGAGAGGTGGAGGGGTGACCCCGTGGAGGAGACTACATCCATGTTCTCCCATGTGTCTCAACCTTTGTGCTGAAAATCTATATTAAAAATATCTTTTAAGGCTGGGCATGATGGTGCGTGCCTTCAATGCCAGCACTCAGCAAGCAGAGGCAGGCAGAGCTCTGTGAGATTGAGGCCAGCCTTGTCTACATAACGAGTTCCAGGTCAGCTGGGGCTATAGGTCTCAAATTTTTAAAAAATTAATGAGTCCCAAACTCTGCTTGAAGAGGAGGAAGAGAACAAGGAAGAAGAGAGAAGGGGAGGAGGAAGGGGAGGAGGAAGGGGAGAGGAAGAGGGGGGAGGGGCACGGCAGGCCTCCATTCTCTCAACCTCACTCCCCAGCTGCTCCCACTCTCACACGTGCTGTCCTGTCTCCAGCTGGACTTTTCTTTTTTCTTCCTTTTCGTGGCTTTTGTTTTTGAGACAAGGTGCCACACTGTAGGTTCAGCCACCTGAGTGCTGGGATTACGGGTGTCCGAGACATCATGCCTGGCTTCAAGCCTGACTTCTGCCCCATGGAGCTGCCGTGAGGCCTCCATCTCCCATGCAGCAGCCCTGACAAGGCTCAAGAGCAATGCCCGGTGGTAACCCTCTCAGGAGGGGGCATTCACTTTAGAGAAGAGCACTGGGAGCAGCAGGAGGGTAGTCATGCCCTTCAGTGCCACTGCAGCCTGTGCCCACCCTGCTGGGCACGCTCCCACATCCTCCCATCACCCTCCTTCCACAGTGCATTCATTCCCCGACCCCTGGACCCATCGCCAGCCCTCCACTGACCCATTGAAAGCTGTCACATATCGGATGAGCTTCCGCCGCTCATCCCCAGGGAACTCCCCGTACAGGAAGAAGTGTTTACCCTGGAAGAAGTCTGCGGGAGAGATGAGGAAAAGGTGAACCGTGAGTCCCCAGATTGCAAGGCACTGATCAGGAGCGCTGAACATGTGGAGCCAACAAAGGGAGGCAGAGGAACCACAGCACTAATGGTTTCTAGTCTGGCACCCATTGGGTCTGCGGGGAGGTTCTCGTGTGCCTGCTTTGGTGCTGGCTAGCGAAAGTGCAGTCGCTGTAACACAGCCATGTGGCTCTTGCAGGCAGGTCACAGCTCCTTCCCTGGCCTGGGCTAGGCTGGCGGCCTCAGGCCTGCCACCATTTCCCTTTGGCTAGCTGGCTCTGGGCTGGTTTTCACGTGACTTTCCAGGTCACTGACTCACTGCCCTCATTCTGGGAGGCTGGGTTGAAGTGCTTCCCTGCACTCTCCCATGAGGAGCCTGGCAAACAGCTCTTCCAATGACCCTGAACCTCACCTGTTTGGACCCTGACTATTTTTCTTCTTTCCTTCCTTTTTCTCCTCCTTTCTCTTTTGGTCTTTTGAAAGAGGTTAAACCTTGAACTCAGGCAATCCTCCTGCCTCAGCCTTCTCAGCGGGGGACTGCAGGCATGAACCTCCACACCTGGCTTTCCTTCTAATCCTGCCTGGGAGGCTCCAACTCCCACAGCCTCCTGCAGGTCTCTCAGCTCCGTTTTAATGTCTTCAGGCTCTCCAGCAGGGAGAGTGGCACACACCTGTAATCCAAGCACTTGGGAGGCTGAGATAGCAGGATCACCACAAGTCAGACCAACCTGGGCCACACAAAACCCCATCTTGGGGGAAAAAAATAAGAAACTCAGATACACATGCCCGCACCGTCATCTTGACACTGTCGGTAATGACTAACTCTGAACACACAATGCTCCACTGCTCGGGTGTCAAGGGACCCGACAGAACTGAGAGGGCGGTGGTCTGAAGCACTGACCACAAAATGGGGTTGCTCACACTGGGATGGGGATCATATGTGTTGGACAGCAAGGGGAGCCATAGCGCAAGTTGTGGAAGCCACAGGAAGGGAAGCAGGCCAAAGAGAGCAGGACATGGCCAAGGCAGGGAGCCAGGGAGCTGGGTGGCAGCACCAATCCCAGGGCTGGCTGGGGCAGGACACCACTGCCACCTGAGGGCTCAAGGTGACACTGCAGAAACAGATTTCCAACCTGGGAGTTCTGGGATTGGCAGGTCGGCATCTGGGGGAGCCTCGCTGTCTGTGTTCTCGTCTGTGGAGCCTGCGTAAGGGTCCTCGCCATCCTCCCCTGGGGCTGCGGGCTTCGGCTGCCTCTGCTCGGCCACCCTGAGGCAGTAAAGAGTGGCAGAGAGTGAGCATATAGGGAGACAGACCCCTGCACCCTAGGCCAGGTTGCACTGCCCAAAGCAAGCCTACCTCCTCAGCTCATCCTCCGTGTCCCCCGAATCTTCTGCCCCATTGTCCTGTCCTGCCAGAAGAAGCTCAGTCAACCCACTTTTGTCTTCTGGGAAGTCTGGGAACTCCCTTCCCAGAATGGCTCTAGAGAATATAGGCAGGGACTGAAAACAGCCTCAGCTGCCACCTACATCTAGCCTTCAGATTAGCAAGCCCCTCTCTTCCACTCCATTTGTCTGGGTACAGATCCAAGGGCCCAAGCCCCAGCACTTGGTCCAGGGGCAAGTCCAACACTCCTCCTTCAGATCCAGGAGTTTAAGCCCTAGCCTCCTCCCTCGGACCCAGGGGTCCAGACGCAGCCCTCTACCCTCAGAACCAGGGGTTCAGGCCCCAGCCCTCCTCCATCAGACCCAGGGGTCCAGACCCCAGACCGCCCCCTCCAACCTAGGAGTTCAGGCCCCAGAGCCCTCCTCCCCCAGCTCAAGGGGTCCAGATCTCTTCCTCCCTCAGACTCTAACCTGACTGTTCCCCTTCAGGGTCACTATTGTCCTGGGGTCCTGGTGAGGGTGCCTTGGTCTGTTCTGGGGTTGGTGGCTTCTGGGGTGAGCTGGATCCTGCTGCCTGGGCTCTGGCTTTGGCCTTGGGGCGCTGAGGAAGGAAGGTTGGACAGCTGAGGTGGTTGGGGCAGTATGGGCATGAGACTGCGGACAGCCTGCAGAGGCAGGAGTGGGAGGGAGGCTGAGGTACCACTGCAGACACCAGAGTCCTCCCAGCACTCCCTCCCCACCACGCAGGGGCATCAGACCTTTTGGGGAAGCTTGGGAGCTTCATCTTCACTGCTCCCGCTGTGCGAGTCCCCCTCGTTCTCGCTGCTGGAGCCAGGCCCTGCCATGAGGTACCTAGGGAAGGAACCAGGCCTCAGCATAGTACTGAGAACTCTAAGGGAGGTGGGGAGGTGCTGGGAGGCAACAGCTTACTGTGGGATCCTGCTCTCCCTGCCACCTGGCCCCTCCCCACTGGAACCCAGGCAGCCCACAGAGATGCGAGCATACCATTTCCCTCTTGGGGAAGAAATGTGCCATTTTGAGGAGGAAAGAAAAATCAGAAATGGTCTCCCCCATTGAGAATCAAGATCAGTTTCTCATTAGGAGGATGCCTATAGCAATTAACAGAAAATTCTCAGGAGTAAATACTGTTGGCACTGAGGATCTGGAGGTATGAATCTATGAACTCAACCAATCATGCATGAACTTGTTTTGGTCACTGTTCTATAAATAACAAAATATAACAAGAAATTACATAGCATTTACATACTATTACTTCTGATAAGCTCTCTAGAGATTCAAAATATCTGGGAAGAGTCCAGCCTGGTGAGGCAGGCCTGTAATGACAAGTATTGGAATGGCTGAGGCAAAAGGATTTCAAGTTCAAGGCCAGCTTGGGCAACTTGACATTAGCTCAGTGGTAGAGCACCTGCCTAGAATCCCCCAGTGAGGGGCTGGGGTGTGGCTCAGTGGTAGAGCACCTGCCTAGAATCCCCATGAGGGGCTGGGGGTGTGGCTCAGTGGTAGAACACCTGCCTAGAATCCCCCATGAGGGGCTGGGGTGTGGCTCAGTGGTAGAGCACCTGCCTATGATCCCCCAGTGAGGGGCTGGGGTGTGGCTCAGTGGTAGAGCACCTGCCTAGAATCCCCCAGTGAGGGGCCGGGGGGGGTAGCTCAATGGTAGAGCACCTGCCTAGAATCCCCCAGTGAGGGGCTGGGGGTGTGGCTCAGTGGTAGAGCACCTGCCTAGAATCCCCCAGTGAGGGGCCGGGGGCGTAGCTCAATAGTAGAGCACCTGCCTAGAATCCCCCAGTGAGGGGCTGGGGGTGTGGCTCAGTGGTAGAACACCTGCCTAGAATCCCCCAGTGAGAGGCTGGGGGCATGGTTCAGGGGTTGCCCAGCATGTGGAAAATCTCAGGTTCAATCCCTAGTACCACCTCCCAAAAATTATATGCAAAGATATGTTCAGGTTATATGCAAATACTCATCATTTTATACAAGGAACTTGAGCATCTGTAGATCTCTCCTCCCCGGTAGGTATGTGTGGTATGGGTGTTCACCTGTGAACACACTCAGTAACCATCATGACCACTTTGGGGAATAAATGCAACTCAAGACTAGCCACACATCTGTTCAGGGTGATCACAGAGAAGAGTGAGTCTGTGTGGAAGTTAGAGAAGAACTCTTAGTTTTCAGACATATCTGGATCCTCCAAACAAGGTATGGAGCCCACTGCCTTGACTAAGTGGGGCTGAACACCCCCTTCCCTGTCTCACAGTTCCCCAACACAACTCATGACTCAAATATAGCCTCACTTCTGAATACACCGTAACCATGGAATATACTAGAGTCTCCTCCAATCCTCAGCCCTTGGATTTGACCATGCTCTTCCCCAGCTCAAGTCTTCCATGCCTCCTACCTCTGGCAGCCTCGTGTTTCTATGCCACTTCCAACTCCCACTATAAGGTCAGTCCCACCTGAACCTCCTCAAGAGGATGCAAACTGCTGCCTGCCCCTGCCTGCTCCGTGCTGCCCAATACACCCTCTGCCTGTTTGCTATGCACATCTCGTCCTGCAAGACTCCTGCTAGCGCAGACTCCCCAGGCAACTCCACGCTGGGCTAAAATGTCTGACCCACTCAGCCAAGTGACAAGTCATTAAGGCTCAGCCTTTCGGTCCCCAGTATCATACAGTAACAGCCCAGCACTAATTGGAGGCTTCCAGACAGGCTCTGAATGACTGGAAACAGCTCTGAAGCTCCCCACTTCAACCCCAAGCCTCTGCTGCCTGAGAGTCAAGATGTAGTGAGGACTCACCTCTGGGAGGGCAGTCGACGACGCATGCGGTGACAGTCCAGCACCCACTCTTTACGCACAATGCGGCCTCCAAGGCCCAGGACCTGGCTGTACTTGGGGGTGTTGGCAAAGGCACAGCTGCAGGGGAAAAATAGAGGGGTGTCAGTAAGATGTGATCTGAAGGGCAAATGGGACATGGTGGGGGGAGACAAAGATGACTTGGGAGAAAGAGAACAAGAGATGGAGTGAAAGGAAGGAGGCAGAAACCAGAGGATCAGACGTAAAGAGAGACAAGGAGGCAAAAAGATGGGAGGGAGGGAGGGAGGGAACAATGCAGGAACAGGGGGAAGCAAGAGAGGGGGATGAAGGGCCAAGACAGGGCTTAGGGAGGGCAGAGGCGTACATGAGGTGCGTGCTGTCTGGGGTCCAGTCTGGCCGATACTTGGCCCCCAGCTCCAGGGCCTTGTCCCGGAGCTCTGAGCGGAAAGGGTTCTGGAAGCCACTGAGCACTACCACCACACCCTGTAGAACCTTCCCCAGGTCCTTTGGGCCAGCACGAGCTCCCTTGGGCTCCGTGCCTTCTCCTCGAGGCTTCCCTGGGACTGCCGCCTGTGCTGGGGTAGAGGTTGCAGCTGCAGCTGGAGTGCAGGTAGGAGCTGGCACTGGGGAGCCAAAGTGTAGAAATTCAGATAGTACCCCTGGGGCTACACATGCAGCCCCAACTCCCTCAGGACACAGGAGCTCAGACTCCCCACTCCCTCCTCCAACCCAGGGGTCCAGACCTCTTCCCCTGTGACACGCAAGCCCAGGCCCCGATGCAAACAAGGAACCCAGTCTGCTTACGTTTGGGTTTCTTGAGAGCGGGTGGCCCAGCCAAAGGTTTGCTGGCAGTCTTTCTTTCTTCTGAGTTCAAGTCCAATTTCCTCTTCCCTTTGGGAGACTCCTGGGGCTGAGGAGGAAGGGATGTGCTGAGGCCTCCAGCTTCTTTCCTCCTCCACACCCCTTACCCCACATCCGATATCTCACCTTGGAGGAGCTGCCAGAAGCCTTGGAGACAGGAGAGGCCAAGGAGGCTGCACTAGAGGCCTGGAGCGTAGCAGCTGCATAGCTCGGTCCTGCTGGGTCACTGGCTGAAGCTATAGATAGGGAAGTGGACTGAGCATGAGAGGGCAGGCAAGGCACGCTTAGCTCCTATGCACCAGCAGAGCCATCCCCAAATCCAACAGTAATCTCGAGTTCAGGCCCCAGTTCTCCCTCACATTCAGGGTCAGACCTCAGCTTTTCCTCCTCAGACTCAGTCCAGGCTCTAGTCCCTCTCCCTTGGACAGCCTCCCCCCAGACCCAGAGGTCTAGCCAGCCCCCTACTAACTCACCACTCAGGTTTTCTTTCTCTGTGTCATTGTTTTAGAGAGTCTCATGTATCAGTATGGATCAAACTCAGTATGCAGTTGAGAATGACCCTGAACTCCGGATCCTCCTGCCTCTACCTCCCCAGTGCAGGGATTTCAGCCATGAGCCACCATGCCCGGTTTATACAGGGATGGGGACCGAACACTGGGCTTCGTGCATGCTAAGTAAGCACTCTACCATCACCAGCCCTGGCGCCCAGGTTTTCCACACTCACCAGAAGATGTCTTGTTGATACGACTGAAGAAGAGAGCCCCTGGTCTCAAGGAGTTGGCCTTGTCGTCCTCCTCCTTCACACGAAACTGGCCAAGCTTGGTCACTGTCACCTTCTAAGGTTCCGAAAGGTCAGTGCTGTGGTAAGGCTGCTAGCAGGTGGGGGAGGAGAGGCAGGGAGAAGGCTGGGGGGTGGGGGGGGCAGGTGAGCTTACCTGGGTTGGGACCTCCTCATCTTTTACTGGGGGGCTGTGAAATCGCACAAAACTCAGGCCATAGGGTGAGTCCTGGAATGCAGGGGTAGGTGTCAGGGTGTCTGGACAGGACAGAGCTAGGCCTTCATGTCCCTTACTTAGGGAGGCCCTTTCTGGCTCAGTCTAAGCAGGTGACAGCGATGATGACAGCAATGAATAGTAAACTGCACTATGCTTAACCGAGGATCCAGGCCAGCTTTCAGCCCTCGATGCTCTAGTTCTTGACCCTCACTACAACTAGCAGTCTGCTTGGTGTGCAGTGAGTCCACTTCTACATGCTCAATTCCTGCCTGGAGCCACTTCCAGAACACAGAACACCCAAAGCCCCTTGCCTCCCCTAGCTGGGTGCAGAGCCAAACGGTACGAAGACCCTGAGTCCCTGACCCCACTATGATGAGGATGCTGGCAATGTTAAAATATTAAACAGCCCAATGGGCCTCAGCACACTCTCCAAGACTTCCTCAGAGAACAAAGTTGCTCATCGTGGGAGGATCCCAAACCCATTTCTAGGAACTGAGGTACCTAGCCTCTCCACGATCTGGCAGGAACAGCAGCTGTCCATGGCCTCAGGCCTCTGGACTCAACACTAGCCCCTCAGATGCCCCCTCACCCAGGACCAGGACCAAGGTCTGACTCCCTCAGCTCCTGCACTACGTACCTTGCTGTAGGGCTGGCTGCACACAATTTTAACACGGTCCCAGCGCTTCTCAGCTGCTGCTCGGACCAACTTGTCAGGTCCAAAAATACGAACACGGTTGGGATTTGAACCACTGCGGCTCTCAGATGGGGACATGAACGAGGAGGTGACCAGAAGGACCTAGGCAGAAGAAGACACAATGAAGAAGATCCAGAGTTAGTGCACTTCTGGGGAGCTGGACAAGGGGCAGGGGGCTGGGGGCTGGAGCCAGGGTCACCAGAATCCAGCTTGAGCCTTCACATCTCTACACTTCTTTAAAAACAAAGATTTATAGGCTGGGCGTGGTGGTGCACACCTTTAATCCCAGAGGCAGAGGCAGGCCAGCCTGGTCTACATAGTGAGTTCCAGGCCAGCTGGGGCTACAAGGAAGCCCTGCCTCAAAAAAAAAAAAAAAAAGATTTATTTATTTTCACTTATGAGAATTTGCCTACATGTATGTATAAACACCATGTGTGTGCAGTACCCATGGAGGCCAGAAGGCAGCATCGAATCCCATGGAATTGGAGTTATAGATGGTTGTTAGCCACCATGTAGGTGCTGGGAACTGAATCCAGGTCCTCTGCAAGAGCAGTCAGTGCTCTTAACTGCTGAATCATCTCTTCAGCCCCTAGACCTGTTCTTTCTACATTTTATTTGTGTATGTATGTGTGTGCATACGTGTGGTGTATGTGATATTATGTGGTACAATGCATGTGGATGTGCGAGCGTGGGTGCCCATATGTGCGCACACATGGAGGCCAGAGGTCATCCTCTGTGGCTCTCTGCCTTCCTCCTTTACCGCAGAGTCTCTTACTGAACTGAAGCTCAGTATTTCCACCTAGGTTAGCAGCCATAGAGCTCCCAAGTCTGTAGCCCTGCCCTGTGTTTCTGGGCCTCCACTGAGTTTTCCAGACTCCAAGGGATCTTACATACATGTATTTTTTTAACTACCTTATTTATTAATTTTATGTGTATGCGTGTATTGCCTGTACGTAGGTAAGTGCACCCGTGTTGTGCAATGCCCACAGAGGTCAGAAAAGGATGTCAGATCCCCTGGAGGTATAGACAGTTGTTAGCTGCCATGTGGGTGCAGGGAGTCAAACCTGGGTCTTCTGCAAGAACAGCCAGTGTCCTTAATCACTGAGCCATCTCTCCAGCATACATACACAGACACACACACACACATATATATTTGGTCTTTTTGAGACAGGGTCTCCTGTAGCCCCAGCTATCCTGGAACTCACTATGTAGACCAGGCTGGCTTCAAACTCAGAGAGATCCGCCCACCTCTGCCTCCCGAGTACTGGGATTAAAGGTGTGCACCACCACACCTGGCCCCCATGTATATTTTTTTAAGAGAGGGTTTCCCTGTAGCCCCAGCTTGCCCCTGGAACTCACTATGCAGACCAGGCTAGCCTTGATCTTGATCTTGCAGAGATCCGCCTGCCTCTGCCTCCCAAGCACTGGGATTAAAAGTGTGCATTACCATGCCCAGTGTATATATGTATTTTTTAAATGACACATACTAATTGTACATTTTTTATGGGGTACAGTGTGCATGTCAATGCTTTAATATAATGTATATTTTTTATCTTTAGTTTGGCTTTTTGAGACAAGGCCACATGTAGCTCAGGCTGGCCACAAATTTGCTATGTATCTGAGATTGACCTTAAATTTCTGATCCTGCCTCCAACCTCCCAGACTCTGGGATAACAGGCATGTACCACCACACCCAGCTCTACATTGTGTGTGTGACGTGTGTGGTGATGAGATCAGAGTAACTGGCCTACTGTCACCTCAGATACTAATCATTCCTTTGTATCAGGAACTCCATCTCTACTAGCTACTTTGAAGCACCTAATAAAATGTCAGCCACAATTTTCCTACTGAGCAGTGCAACTTGAGAAGTTATTCTTCCTGCCAGGTGTTGTGGTGCAGGCCAGCAATCCCAGTACTCAGAGGAGCCCGGGAAGGGAGATGGTGAGTTTGAGGCCAGGGTGGGCCACACAAAAGATCCTGTCTCAAAGAAATATATTATCATTTCTCCCATCCAATCACAGCCCTGCAGCCATTTTCCGTCCCTCCCTCCCACACTGCTTCCAGGGCTAGGGTAACCACAATTCCATTCTCTATGCTCCCAGATTGATATTTTAGCTTCCACATGTGAGAACAGACATTTGTCACTCTGTATGTGGCTTATATTTAGAGTGTGTGTGTGTGTGTGTGTGTGTGTGTGTGTGTGTACACAAATGCACACATGCGCCACAGGGCACTTGTGGAAGTAGGACAACTTTAGGAAATCGGATCTCTCCTTTGGTTAAGAGTAGCAAAAAGCCCCCATAAGTTTAACTGGTCTAGACTATAAAATCTCTAGTCTGTTGGACCTTTCCAGTTTCACTGGCCAATCTCCTGGTGACAGAACCACCCCTAGGAAGGCAGGTTCTCCTTAAGTTATGCTAAATAGTTGGGCAGAGTACCTGGTGCGTTAATGAGGTAGCGAATTTTGCTGCCTGGAATCCTGCCTCGTAGTGCCGAACTCCACAGAACTCTGGATCAGCCACAGTAGTGTAAATCTCTGTAAGTCTGTCCAACTTTCTCTAAATTCTTTAGAAAAAGCATAATTTGTTTTCTTCATGGCTTTCTTTCTAAACATGCTTTCTTTAAGGTTTTGGGCTGCCCCTAGCATCTTATATATTTTTTTACTTTTTCTCTAAAGCTTCCTTCTCCCAGTCATGTAGCTGCCAGTCAGCCATGTGTCTGACCTCCGTGCAGGCTCTAAACCTGCATGGCTCCATGGCTTTCTTTCCTTCTCCCCTCCATTCACCTCCTCAAGGCAGCTGCCAAGATTACCAGCTTGCCTGCCCTGAGGAATTTTCTTTAAAATTCTAATGAAGTTGTAAAACCTTTCATTTGGATCCATTCTTAAATACTTTTATGAATGAGACTAAGAACCCTCTAGGGGACCCTCTTTCCCCATTTTACTTCCACCATGTGGGTCTGGGGACTCTAACACAGGTCTTCAGGCTGGGCAGCGAGCAAGCGCCTTTAGGTGAGCTGTCTTGCTGGCTTCTGGCGTGCGTAACTTGCCAGTTCCATTCATGTTGCTGACGTGACAATTTTATTCTTCAGTTTATTTCTTCTTTGAGGATCTCATATATTATGCATTTTGGTCATGTTCACCCCCATGACGCTCTCCCTGGCTCCTACTTCCCGACAAGTCCCTTCTGCTTTCATGTCTTTCTGTTGAATTACTCACTGAGCACGGGCATCTTACCAGTGGCTATCCACTGAAGAAAATGATGCCCTCCCTGGCAGCTACCTGAAAGCTCCTCAGCTGGGCCTCATGAGCCTTCTCCACACCACTGAAGTCTGTTCTTTCTTTGTAGCCAAATACTATTACTATATTCTGCATATACACACTGCTTTGTCCCTGCTCAGCCAGCACTGGCCACCTTGGGCATACCAACTTCACTTCTAGTAGTGGGATCGCTGGATCACAATAGTCCAGACAACTCCCACGGAGTCTTTACACCAGGCAATATGGAGGGCCACAGGTCCCAAGGAACTCTCCCAGCAGAGGAGTCTCAGCGAGAAGCACAGTGTTCAAACATCACTGGAAATGCATGGCTGAGTCAGAGCAAAGGCCAGAGTTACAGGATGCCAGAAACGAGAGCTCCAATTCCAGAGAAGCAAGGCAGCAGCATCGGTTATTAAGTGATGCTCCTCTGTCAGGCAGAGCGTCTGTGGGCAGATGCCACTGGACAGCTCTGTGCTGTGGGGCCTAGGAGGCAAACCACTGGGCGAGGCCGGATGCGCCTCACCAGGCTCTGCCAATGGGAGAGGCAAACGCTGCAAGCGGCAGGACACAGGGTCCCACTCCCTGTCTAGCTCCAGATTCTGGGACCACCCAGCTCTTCTGTGGCACCATAGGAATCCAGTGTATAGCAGCCCCACACCAGTCCCTTTCTCAGGGACAGCAGCAGGAGGTTCCAGAAAAATGGAGTAACTCCTCCTTGGGGTGCTTCAGGTCCCATGACCTCACTCTCAGGAGCAACTCTGCATCAGGGCATTTCGGGTCCCATGATGCTCACAGTGGTGACAGATATTCAGTCATTCCAACATTTTTAAAAATTATTATTTTTAGCCAGGCGTGGTGGCACACACCTTTAGTCCCAGCACTCAGGAGGCAGAG